TTTTCAAGACTTTTAACACAAAATTCTTCAACGTGCCAGCATGTAATTTTCACATTTTTTTTTTTTGTCAACGCAGTGGGTATCTGGGTCCGTGAACTAGTTACCGTACGACCCAACTAATCCCACTGCGTGGCCGGGAGAGGCTGCCCAACATCACCGACCAAGTAAACCCGGGGACTCGATCCCTGGACGTGGCTTTCCTCCAACTGGGACTACAACCACGGAACCGAACCACGAAGGGCATGTAATTTTCACATTTGAAATGAAAGTATTTCTGAGTTACTATAGATCTACATAATTTTAGGAAAGTTCAACTCTTGGCAGCATGCATTTATGACTTTTAAAAAATTGATAAAAGAATATCACAAACGACGTTGGTGAATGTGTCTTATTATTGAAAATTTCGTAGGTAGATCTAAGCTATGATTTCACCAATGCCGCTATAAATCTGAGGTATGATTTCACCAATGCCGCTATAAATCTGAGGTATGATTTCACCAATGCCGATGCTATAAATCAAAAAAGTGACGTGAGAAAATTTGTGCCTATTTTCATTCACAAGTAGGACTTTAGACTAGGTTTATGATAAGGGGTGCAATTGAGTCGAATTGAGATCGAGTAGTATATTATTCAAGTTTCACTCCACTTAGAAAACTTGGAATTTAACTTGAATTTGAGTTCGTCAAGTTCAAGATTTTGTTTTGCATTAATTTGAGCTCAATCGAACTTAATCGAATCTAATCGAGTTTAGAAGATATAAAATGTATATTTTGTATAATTTTAAACAAGGGATAAAAATTTCATACTAATAAATTAATATATATATATATTATAAAGTTTGATTGAACTTGATTTAAACTCGATGAACTTTCGAGTTTCACATATTAAACTCAAACTTGATTTGTTAGGTAGTTCGAATTGCTTGAACTTGAACTTGAAGTCGATCAATGTGAGTTCGAACTCGAATTTTGACCGAACAAACTCACAAGATACCCTATTAACTTTGCATTAAAATTTTCCGTTCTTGTGTAAGATAGGTGTTGGGCTTGGATTTTTTCCCGATACAGGGATAGAAATACAAGTTAACCAAACAAAAAATGTTGGAAGTGTTTACTGAGAAAGCATTCGATATATCGTGGCCCAACAGCATTCCAGTCCAACAAACCATATAATCTCCATCTTTCTCAACCCTGGCCTCCATCTTTCGCAACTAACCATCTTTCTCAACCCTGGCACGTCCCGGTCCAACCCATGAATCCATTTGGTCCAATTACAGAATATAAACGACAGCAACCTATCTCCTTAGATATTAAAGCCACTCTTCTCTTCCCTTCACCAAAAAAAATCAACAGGAAATTCTAGAAAAATCGGGAAAAAAAGGATGAAGTTCACAGATTCCCCTGTTATCGATCTCCAAGTCCTCAATAGCCACCTCTCTTTCCACCAAGACAACGGCTCCATGCACGTCGGAACCTCCGTCTGGTCTTGCTCTTTAGTCCTCGTCAAATTCGCCGAGCGCTGGCACCCTTCAATGGCGGCGGCGGGGGGGAACAACAACCCCTACGCCGACCTCCTAAACTTCACGGGCAAACGCGGCATAGAGCTCGGAGCAGGATGCGGGGTCGGTTCAATGGGTTTATTTCTACTCGGTTTAAACGACATCGTTGTTACTGATATAGCTCCGGTAATGCCGGCTTTAAAACACAACTTGAAACGGAACAAGCCAGTTTTGAAAAAGGCTTTGAAAACGGCCCATTTGTATTGGGCCAACGAGGCCCAGATGAAGGCCTTAGGCCCAGAGCCTTTTGATGTTGTTGTGGCTGCTGACGTGGTTTACATCGAGGAGTCAGTTGGGCCGTTGGTGGAGACGATGGTGGAGCTGGTTGCGGAGGACGGCGTCGTTTTGCTGGGGTACCAGGTGAGGTCCCCCGAAGCCCACTTGTTGTTTTGGGAAAAATGTGGGGAGGTTTTTGAGATTGAGAAAATCCCACACGAGCATCTGCATCCCGAGTATGCGTACGAGGAAACTGATGTTTATGTTTTGAGGAAGAAGAAGCAGAATTCCGTGGAAAATAAGAAGGCTTCGTAGTGGGACCCCGTGGTTTTTTTTTTAATTTCTATTTTTATTTTTGTCATTTTTTTTTTTTGTAGTTTTTGGGTAGTAAATTATGTTTCTGGTGAGAATTTGAGTTTGAAATTTGTATTGAGTTATACAGTAAATGTAGTAATATCAATTTAATAATGTACTATTTGGGAAAAAAAAAGTACAAGAAAAACATGCTTTGTTTATGAACAGTAGAGTTCAGATATGTTGAATTCATGTATGAAGCTGCGGTGAATTTTAAGTTTGAAGTGTGAATTCAGCTATGCAGTGATGTGTTTTTTATTCGGGATAAGCTATTACTGAAAATTGAAATATATTGTTTAGGCAAAAAGCTTCTTTTTTTGGTCTATAATTGGATGTAACTAATGATAATGCAAAATGTGTCATGCACAGAAGGAAGGTCTTATGTTTATTTAGCATCAGTACAAAGCATAGTTGCTATAACAATTGAATTGCTCTTAATCATAAGATAAAGTTTTACTTGTAGATGTATATTGAGAGTGATGAACCTATGAAGCATGGAAGGGATTCAATGGATTTGAGTGTGGTTTCTGTCATTTTTGTTATGTTTGCAATTTAAGTTGAACCGCAGAGCAGAGGTTGCTAGGTGACTGTAGTATGGTTTTCTCTATATTCGACATCTAGGGACGTATGTAACTGTGAATTTGTTTATTGAAATGAAACAGGTAGATCTTAGGCATACTTGATGATGGAGCAAAGTAAGGCCGCAAGAGATTCAAAGCTCCTCGGGCGGGCAATTTGGTCAACAATTCGACTCGAACTTGATCAAAATCGAAGTTGAGTTAAGCTCGAACAGCTTGTTTGTGAATTCAAGTCGAGCACGAGTTTTAGAGAAGGAAGCTCGAGTGCTTGACGGGTTTATTGGAGTAATTAGGTTGTCTTAATTAAAAATAATATATATGTAAAATTACATTTGTAAGTATGGAAATTGTGAAATTTATCACTAAAAATCCGAACTCTACACAAACTCGATATGGCTCACAAGAATCTTCAAGCTCATTCAAGTCGAGCTTGAACTCATATACTACTTGCTCGAGGTGAGTTCAAGGTAAGTTTGAGTAGTACTATCAATGATCGAGTTCAATTTCGAGTATAGTACGACTCAATTTGAATGCACCCCTAGAGCAAAGGTTCTTGGAGTTTATGCACTCCTAGAGCAAAGGCTCTTGAAGTTTTTCGCACTGCCTGCTTTGGAGTTCAAATTCTAAACTTGATAGTTGGAGGTGGAAAGGGTGTAGAGAGGAAAGGAATGATAATTTCAAAAAGAAAAATAAAAAAAAATCTGTTTTATTCAGAAATCCGATCAATGATAAATGGAAATTTTTTCATAGGTCTGGTTCTTCTTTGCTCCGTTTTGTCCAATTTTCTCAAATTTCATTTGGAGACGTGCTTTGATGATAACAATTTCCAATTTGTTGTCCAATTTTCTTAAGTTTCATTTGAAGAATTCTTAATGATGGGGACATGAGCACAGACCTGTTGTATGTACCAGGGTCCATTATACTTCTTTGGGTATTAATAACCCTACAACACTTATCAAAGACTTCATCATTTTTTCTTTTTTGGATAAACAAAGCAATTTCATTGTCATCAATCTGCACTAATGATAGAGAATACATCAAATATGCAATATATATATATATATAGATATATAGATAAATCAGATCTAAAATATCATAAAAAATATAACTATGAAGCTCCAAAAATCTTCCACTAATACATGAATCAATGCAACCATAATTGTTGCAGTAAGAGTTTTCTCCTAGATCTTTTCTAGTGAAAATTTTCTCCTCTTTTAGGACTTTCTCCTCGTAGGATTTCTTTGTAAGAGTTTTTCTTTACTTTTTCTTATTCTTCTTGTTATATGCGAGATTTCTTAGATGTGTTTTCTCATATCTAGAAATTCTCAAAATAAATTTTGTCAAAATCTAAACTTACTCTTTGGTTCTGAAATAGTTTTCACATTAGATAGTTGTCGAAGACAACAACTTTATCAATTTAATTTGAGAATATAATTTTTTTTTGTTTGAGTGAAGTATGAGATCTAAACTTAAGATTAGTTTCATTTGGTACCCCAAATTTGTACCTAATTCACATTTTGCACCTTAAATTTTAATTTTAAATATTTTACATTTTTGCTTTTCAGATTGGTCCTATTTAGCTCTATTTGATAACGTTTTTAGCAAAACCAATATTGTGCACAGAACGTTATCATAGCCACTCTGTTCACGAGATACATGACTATGCACATAACATATATTTCAGTCACTCTACTAGGTGGTAGTGCATTACCATCATTTCACAATCCTTATCTTTTTTTTGACGAAAGTTAAAAATATAAACCTAATCCCAGAAGAAACTTCAAAAGCCGGCAACTTTTGAGGTCCTCCCAAGGACTTATAAACCCAACCCCAAACCCCCCCAAGAACCGATGTGGGATGGCAACCCCACAAGGGCAAGCCAGTAGGCCCGCTGCTACTAAGAAGTGACGACCCCCCACAAAACCCAGTATAACTACCCTTGCAGGAATTGTCAGACATATAAAAAATCGAATTGTCTGCATGGTCTTTTATTTTGTCAATTTTGATAATGGTGTTATTGATTGGACTTACGTGAGACAAGTAATAGAGATTAGAGTGCAATTTATCCAAAATTAAGTGAAAATAGGATATAAGCTTGGGGAAGCAAAGTGATGTTAATCCTAAAAAAAAAAAAAAAAAAAGCAATCTGACTTATTATCATTAGACTTGGAAGAACAAAACTTGTATAATGCTAGACAAAAAGCAATAACCTTATTTATGTAATATGAAGCAAACATTTTCGCAGGATTAATAACATAACTTGATTCCATTTCCATAAATAACATAAAAGAAAATGGAAAGGAGTCTTCAACATTGAATTCTAAATGAAAATTTTATCTTTGTACAGTTGAACTTTTATTTCTGATCATTCCGAGAATGTTAGAAGGATGATGAATCAAGAAGTTACGTTAGCCTCTCCTGTACAAAGTAATCGAAAATTTCAGAAATTATAAATACTCCAGTTTCCTGTTAAAAACTTAAGCATGAGCTATATATCCTCCATATTAAAGGGTTTGTATGATGTGTCCCTTGGCCTTCAGCTATGGAACTTGTCTTATTTTCCAGCTTCTCCTAAATCAGCATATAATTTATTCCCCCTCTGGTAGAATTAGATTACTCCAACTGGATCCTGCGCATAAACATTAAAGAATGTTAGCCCAGAAAAAAAGCTTAGAAGTTAAGCTATTTTTTTCTTCACATCGACAATAGACCAAAAAAAAAAAAAAAAAGGGAACCATCTTTATCTCTAATTCCAATTAGGTGTTGAGCTAGACTTCCTCACATTGATCAAAGGAAATGAGAGCTGAATTGTAGTATTCGACAAAGGTAGAGTTGTTGAGATGAGAACCCTCATGTCCAATTCGCCCATTTCCTTTCACAGGAGAGTCTTTGATCAAGGAACCACATTGCCTAGGTTGAGTTTGGTAGAAAACCTTGGAAACCACTAATTCACCTTCCTTTTCATCTTCATTATTGCCTAGGTGATACTGATGCATCACCCAATTTGTTTTCTCAGGTTTTCTTTGCCTCCCATAGTTAGTGTAGAGCACAAGTATCTTCTTGAACCCTTTCACTTTTCCTTTAACAGCAACTGGCCTAGTCTTGCCTGTTTTGTGCCACCGGGTTTCGCAGCCATCTATGTCCGTGTGTACTTTTCTTCTTTTCCTAGTCCCAGTGGTGTATGCTTTTGAAGGGCGATGAAAGAAATGCCTGACTAAACCATCTTTGCTTACTCCTGCAGTATGAAGAAAAAGGCAGGTTTGTTCAGCCATTTTCCGGTCCCAATAAAATATTGGCTATTGTCATTGGCCAATATATAATATCAAAGTAAATACGTTTTTGCATGAATTTAAACCTTGAAAAATAAAAGGTGGCTCCTAGATAGCGAGGGAAAAGAGTTCATAATCAATAGCAACCTGCAACCTCCACGGAATAACATGAATTTCTTATAAGCAAATATTTCTTCCCATGTTAAAATCTATATTTCATGCAACTGTGCCGCCCAGACAATGCAAAGAAGTTTTAGAAACGTGTATCAATCTATCATTAAAACAAAGATGTTCTTAATTTCATAGATAACATAACCATAATTAATATGAGTACAGAAAGGGGGAGAAAACAGGGGTGCTACCAATCCATTCATGATAATGAAAGACCTATTGCGTAGTTAGTCAGAAACTTTGCATTGTGTAACAGATGCACCACCTTTACCATATTTTAGCATTGTGATCAGAAGAAGCCAATGAACTCTGATGATAGATTTTCTCCCTGCTGCATTTTTATGTCATAACTACATGGTAGATGCTAAGTTGGAAAGCCTAAACTATAGGATTTGGGCAATATGGCTTTATTATTACCTGGTAATTTCTCTGGATGCGTACAGCAAATTCCATTTTCTCCCTCAAGTGTGTGGATGAACTCATCGATCAGAGGATGAAGCTTATGAACATCTGATCTCACCTTTGCCTCCAAATGTTCAAGAATTTCCTGATCACTAGGATCAAATTTCACCCCAGCAGGTAATCCTGGAAGGTCATGAATTCCAGCCTAAAGATATAAGGAGCCCAAGCAAAAATGAAGCAAGTGATTAAACAAACCAAGAGAAGAAAAAAGAAGAACAAGGCCACCTATCTAAACCTGGATACGGTAAAAAAATCAATTTTCTAAACCTTTTCTGGAGACTGGAGTGTAAGACCACAGGAGGGACAAGCCATCATTTGTTTACTTTTAGGGCTTTCATGATTGTTAGCATTGTCATGATGATCCGGAGAAGTTGGCAGCCTTCTTGAAGCCGTTCGCTCGTTACTACAGTCACTACAACAAGTCATGATGATTTATTTCCTTGATTCCTCTTATGAAGATCATTCCAATGTCTACTTTAAGAATTCTTCTCAGACAATTCTAACATAAGCAAAATTCCTAGAAGAAAGACAGAGATGAATAAAGGGTTAAAAGGAAAAAGAAAAAGTAACTTGTCTCTTGGATTGCATGTGCATCATGCCTATGTTCTTCAGGGTAGGGAAAGTATTGAATTCTCCTGGAACGTTCTACTTTTTAGGCCATTGTACAATTATAGAGAGTAATCCTTTTCACTCTCTTATATCTAACTACAAATTATTGTGCCCGTGTGTGAATATGATGTTTTTTGTGGGGTGTGTGTGTGTGTGTTATTTTGGTAGGAATTCTTTAGGGATTTCATTGGTTCCAAACAGAGAAAAAGAGATCGCTTGGAGCTCACGTTTAGGTAAACTCATTGTTTTAGGAAAGCCTCATCAGCAAGAAATGTACTTAAGGGTTCTTTAAACGATACCTAAAGGGAAGTTTGAATAGATACTAAGATACTTACTGCTCGATAAGAGAAATTAAAAATCATAACCAAGAAAGAAAAGACAAAATAGAAGTATTGAGTGTAGATCGGACAACCGACTGTGAGAGACAGATTTCTTTTCTTGCATTGCATGAGGAGTATAAGCAAAGGAATAAAAATATAGTTCGTTGTCAATTTCTACTTATACTTCTCTTTACTGTTTCTCTCATATTTCATGGCTTCATTTGCACTCTAGGGCGACATTGGAACTGAAACTATTTTCTTCCCTCCCTCCTCCTCCCCCCCTCCCCTCCCGTATGGACATACTCACCAAGAACAGTAATTGTGAAGCCATAAACTTTCTATATATGTTTGTATAAGTAAATATCAGTCTTTTTTTTTAATTAATTTCCATCTTTTTTGGTGTTACAAGTAAAATATTTAGTTCTAACTTCAAAGGGATTTATAGCAAAGTAGTTGAGTGTATTTATCATGGCCATGTCTGTTGCCTAGTCATTAAAGTATTCTTAGCTTAAGCAAAAAATTAGTGTTACTGTATTTCTACGTCTCTATATATGTACACACCCTATTTCTTGATTGCTGGTGGCCTGGAAAACATCAGTGATCATCCTCACCAGAAGGCCTGTTACATCCAACATTTTCATGGGAGAAAGGATGAGAAATTGCTTTCCAAATTTGTGCAATAAAAAAAATTAAAAAATAAAAAGAATAATCTTCTTCTAACATATTAGTGATTATTTGTGAATTCAGGAGCTGAAATCGAAAAAGATACATAAAGTAAGCTGCCCCAGGATGAAAGTTCTAATTCTGTTGAGTTGGTGATTGGGAAGCTTATACATTACATATTTGTCTTATGTGCTTGGGGTGTGTACCTATGGAGATGCCTAAACAAATGATGGCTAATGTACAAAAAGCAACATCAGGAAAGTAAACAAGAAATCTAAAAGGGAATAGCAGCAATCGGTGAATTTGTGTAACACAAATCTGCTATAGAATGAGAAGGACAATTCTAGTTTGCGTAAGACATCCCGGGCATCCAATCACCAAATTCTACTAATATGACAAATGAAATGGAGTTTTGGAAGATCACATGGATGACTCTTCAGAGAAAAATCATAGCAAATTATTGAATCAATTATGTCCTTAAGGGCATGTCATCACACCTACAAATATGCAATTAGACGCACAACAACCAAACTTTTTTGTTCGCAAATTTGGAGGAGTACTTCTGCAAGCTTATTTCAAAGATTCTTGAGAGGCATTTGATCGCATATGTGCGGCTAAGAAGGTTTTTTATTAGGTGATTTCGACAATGATCCTGGTCGAGGAGAACTTTTCGATACATTAGCATAATATATAATTGAAGTTAGGCCCTATGGAAGAAGAAAAAACAAGGCACGAATGGAAAGTGTAAATGCTTGAAGCGTTTGTGTGATTTATTCATTTGTTTATCTTTGTCTAGTTTTCGTTTCACAGAACAATCATGGCTAAAAAACTCCGTGTAATTTTCCAACTTAAGTGTGCTTCAGCAATTATTCTAGCTGCTATTGTTCGAGAGGCTCAAAACATTGTTCTTAGTTGGGGAAAAATTCCTCGAACTCATGAAAATTGGATTCTAACTGTTGAGTGGGGCTTAGATTTTAAGCAATTTTGTTAGTTTATAATGCTTAGTGCCATTTTGCTGATGTAGTTTGAGGATTTCCTCGTGCATGTGTCACTTTGCAAATCATTAATGAAGTTCTTTCTATTTTGCTCAAAAAAGAGGGTAGATTACATGTAACCCCTTGCGGTTTCATTTGTTGCCACATGACTCTCCTAACATTTCAAAATGTCCACTTCACCCCATATGGTTTTATATAAAGAGGAAACTTGACGGAAAATAACTAATATTGTTAGTTGAAATACCAATAGTGTTGTTACTTAAATGCTAAATTAATCGACGATTTAACCACCTTGTATAAAAGTATATAGAGATTACGTGAATAAAAGCAAAAATCATAAGGGTGTAAAGTAAATACTTATACAACTAATAAGGGGATTATATGGATATTAAGATTTTATCACACGTGTTTTTTAAAGAATATTTGATATAAATGCTGTAACTAATTGTGCATTCCATCCACTTTTCACTTTACAAAAAACCACATAGAGGTTATATGAATATTTTAAAATTTTAGAGAGGTCATCTGGAATTTTGTAAAATTACAGCAAGACAATAAGTAATTTACCCTTATGCTATGTATGAATTATTCACATATTCTTTGTAATTATATGTATCTGCGTTAGATCTATCAACGGGTCTAGTTCGGGTCGAAATTAAAAATTTTGGACCTAAACTCGTCATAATGTACCAATTCCAAACCCGACGGTCTTGTGCTTAGGGTCCTGGAATTGGATCCAACGGGTCCAGGTCTACCCGAAAAAAATAAAGCCCAACATAAATAATGTATTTAGAAATATTTATATTATTGTACTTAGAAATAATGTATTTAGAAATATTATTGTGTTTAGAAATATTATTGTAGTTAGAAATAAAGCCCCAACAAGATTAGGGTTTGGTAATTTGATAAAAGAATTATTATTGTATTTTGAAATCTTTATATTTTATAATTATTAATGTATTATTCGGTTCCGGGTTAGATACGGGTCAGAATCCTATATCTATATCTAACCCGCTTTTTGTGAGAGTAAATGAGTACGGATCTAGGTCCGGGTCCAAATAACGAATTATTTCTTAACCCATACCCGAAAAAAACTATTGAGTGCGGGTCGGATCTGGGTTCAAACCCAAACCATTGACCGTCCTAATCTGTACTCGATAGTTATTGTTGGCAACATTCCTAAACCGGCAGAGATATGCAAGAATAAACAATTTTTATTGGCAACATTCCTCTAATGAATTTCATAGGAACTTTTATAGTGAATGGAGTATATAGAATTTTGATCAATCAAATATTGTAAAGTCCTGGTATTATTACAGGTTAGAATTGGACCATAACGGTACCATAATATCATATTGGGGAGTAAGATCGGAATTAAAGATTGATAGAAAAGCAAGGATATGGGCTCATGTGAGTAGGAAACAAAAAATATCTATTCTAATTTTATCATCAACTATGGGTTTGAATCTAAGAGAAATTCTAGAGAATATTTGCTATCCTGAAATTTTTTTGTCTTTTCTGAATGAGAAGGAGAGAAAAAAATTAGGTCAAAAGAAAATGCCAGTTTAGAGTTTATAAACAATTCGCTTGTGGAGGCGGAGATTCGGTATTTTCTAAATCCTTATGTAAGAAATTACAAAAAAAAAAAAATTCTTTCTACAAAGATGTGAATTAGGACGGATTGGTCGACAAAATATGAACGGAAGATTGAACCTTGATATCCCTCGGAACAATCCATTTTTGTTACCACGAGATATATGTACAGTTTTAGATATCTTTATCTTAAGTCGTGGTTTTGCATAGGTTGAAGATCTCACGCCTTTGAGGGCAGGGGCTCCAAGATGTGAGCTTCATGAAATACAATTTCTTTTCCCGGAAAAGCAAATACGAGAACTTTTGAAATTCTTTTCCTGGGCAAAGCAACCAACTCGCCAAAAAGTGTGTGGTAGGTATATGATTTTGCTCTATGGCTTTGAGAATAGTAAATTCACTATGATCATAGAAAAGATCTCGATATATGTATTATATGGTACACCAAAATTCAATCTAAACTTGATTTAATTCTCAGCTCCCTGTTTTTGTATGTACAGTATCACATTCTATAGGAAGCACAGCAAAAGAAGTTTTGTTTGATAATCCAGTTCAACACTTAAATTTAATAGATTTAGAGTTTAATATGTTTAGACGTGTTTAATAACGAAAAATTGAACATCTCAATTAATTAAGCGGCACTCAATTTCTTAGACAAAACTTGCTCTAAAAAATAAGTAATAACCTATTTACTTATCATGAATGTGATATACGTTCAAATGTATTTGATTTAATATTTAACAATTCAATAACTTAATAGATTTAGACTTCAGATTTCAATTTTTAGACTTTAATTTTATCAAATGCACCAGTAAAATCAGTACTGCCAGTGCTGGAGACAGGCACCTTTCTTGTTCTTGCCAACAAGCCTATTACAAAACTTACCAACACCGATTACAAGCAGCAGCCAAGACAAAAACTACCAAAAGCAGAAAGGTTTAAAGAAATATTCTAGCACAAAGGAAAATCCAGTGCAAAAGCTGCAGGCCAAGATGCTGTAAGACTCATATACTATGAAGAGGTAAAACAAGAGCAACCGCTCTTCACTGCCCAAGCACTGCATTTGCCAACCACAACTTGATTGCATCTCTTAGCATTTCTTTAATAGAAACTCTTTTTTGAAACAGTTCAATTTTGCATACTACATTATCTCAACTGGGATTGACTCGTGGCTGCACGAGGATCTAACTTTCATTGTGGACAGGAAGGATTGCATGTAGCCACTGGCACCGATTATTGAGTCCTCAACTAGTGTGGTCAATTGAATTGGGGGTCCATATGTATGTGCTCTAGTCATTTTCTTGAGAAAAACTGATTTCTGGACTCATTTACAGCTTAGGACCCCAGTTCACTAAATATTGGCCGGCAGAGGAAGACAACTACTTATATCACATAAAGCAACAGCCTAAATTAGGCCCGAGTGAGCAGAAATGTTTGTTGTGATCTCTGCTGAATTGGTCTAAGTGCCTTTTTTGTATGGCCATGGATGAGCAGATGGCCAATAGAAAGGTGCATTGAGACTA